TTATGATGAAGTTTATTATTTTTACAAAATGGCAGACATCGTTTGATGAAAATAATAAATAAGTTCAGAAAAGCAGACAGCTTTTCTGAACTTATTATGACACACGTAAAAAACCAAAAAAAAGGAGGGACTATAAGCATAACAGAGCGATGGGATAGATATTGTTTGACAAAGTTGCGGGTAAATTAAAAGTGAGCAAATAAAATTGTAAGGATTATGGAAATTTTTGTACAAATCAGTACTAATACTGTTTCCTTCCAGATATGGAAGGACCAAGACTAAAATAGCAGAATTAAACGAAAGAAGAAGATGATTGTATCAAAATATGATTGAAAATTTTCAAATTTTGTCAATTCCTAGCTTTAGTTTTAGATTTTCTGTAAAGCTGGCCCTAAGAACAGAAGTTTAAAGTGAAAAGCTAGTTAATACAAGAGTTAGAAGTGTATAGTTTAACGTTAGAAAGATTTTAGACTTTAAGAGTCTTAAACAAGGTCGTTTAGAGACCTTTAATTTTCGACTATATACAGTAGCGGCCAAAATTGTGGACACTTTTGGAAATTTTTATGTTTTTAAACTTTGTATGCTTATAGAAAATGTTACGTTTCGCAAAATGCAAACTTGTATATATCATTTTAAAGAGAATTTATTACCTGATTCAATACAAACACAAAATTCATATTTGCAATACAAAAAAAGTTATATGTACTTTAATTCAATAAAAATTCAAATTCAATAAAAAACAAAGAAAGAAAAGGCCGAAAAAGGTGCACCACATCTATTGATGACAGAAGAATAAAACGACTATGTCTCCAAGTTAGAAAAATGTCATCAGCGGCCATCAGAAGTGATCTGAATGATGCTGGTGTTTCTGTCAGTTCAAGAACAATCAGGAGAAGATTAACAGATGTTGGGCTGAGAGGTAGAATTCCACGAAAAAAGCCGTATCTTAATTTTCAGTAACGAAACAAAGACTACAGTGGGCAAAGGAACACATTAATTGGGCAGATGATCAATGGTCACAAGTTATATGGAGTGATGAAACTAAGATATCGTTATTCGGTAGTGATGGTCGAAAATATATGTAAGACGTAGAATAGGAGAAGAGCTACATCCTGACTGCATTCAAGCAACTGTGAAGAACCCAGTTAGTGTTATGATTTGGTCATACATGTCAGCAGATAGTATTGGTCGCCTTCATGTCATCAATGAATAGTGTCAACTGAATGCCAGAAAATACATTGACATTATTCTAGAACCAAAACTTCTACCTTCCATCAGAGATCTCTTTCCCAACAATGCTTCGTTTATTTTTCAGCAGGATTCTGTTCCTTGCCACACGGCCAAAATATCGAAAGAGTGGTTTCGTACAAAGAGCATTAAATTGTTGTCATGGCCAGGAAACAGTCCTAACCTCAATCCTATCGAAAATTGTGGCACCGTCTTGTGTTTTTTTAAACTCTTTTTAAACTCTTTTTAAACGTCTTTTTAAACTCTTGTCCGAATGAGGCGCCCATCAGATAAAAGGGAACTAATTGAGGCTATAATTGTTTCATGGCATCATGTAATAAATGTAATAACGAAAGAAGAGCTTAAAACTCTTGTCAGCTCAATGAAACGTCGATGTGAAGCTGTAATCAAAAATAACGGGTACCCTACTAAGTACTCATAACTCACTGCAATCATCACTATCTAATGTATATCGATAACTATTATCGTTTAACTTTTTTTGTATTGCAAATAATTGAATTTTGTGTTTTGTATTTAATTGAGTAATAAATTCTCTCTAAAATGATATATACAAGTTTGCATTTTGTGAAACGTAACGTTTTCTATAAGCATACAAAGTTCAAAAACATAAAAATTTCAAAAGGTGTCCACAATTTTGGCCACCACTGTAAAGTCTGGTCGGGAGTTATGTAGTAGTAGTAGTAGTAACGGAGGACGTGGGCACCATCCCCCTACCATTACGGTTAATAGGTTCTGCCCACGTCAAGGGCGGACGTGGGCAGAACCGATTAATCGTAATGTTCGGGAGTTATGTAAGGTTTATTTTAATTTTATTAACAGCTAAATTTTGAGTTAAACTTCCTTTCCTAGCGCTTCTTAATTTCAACTTACCACTTCCGGCCAGAACGTAGTTTTAGAATCACGTCTGAATGTAAATTAAGGAAGAGCGGTATTTAACCGGGAAGTTCTGCTGTCTTAGTCAGACAGAACCAAAAATTCTGATTAGCACGCGTCCGCCTTTTTAGGCTACTCTCTCTTAAGGTATTATTACGCTCGGCTGTACTTTAGGACCTTGATAGCTTCTCAGTCAGTTAGCGTTAAGGGGCTAACTCCGTTAGAAGTTTGATAGCTTCGGCTATATCTCTTTAGTTAAGATTTAGTTTAGTTCTTAGTTTCTTAAGTTCAAGCCCGAGTGTCGGCTTTATTGTACAACTTCCAGACGGAGTTCTGTTAAATCGTACGTGAATAATAAAGGATCTTTTAACCCTTTCCAAGTTTATTTACTGTCTCACGAACTTAAGCGATTATTCGCTTACTAGTTCTTAAGATTCTTGACGTTCAACTGTAACTTAACACAAACAGAACAGAATCTTTATAAAATATAAGCTTCAAATAGCCATGCAAAATGTAATTAAGAAAACATATAATTGAGTAATCCCCATTGCTATCAAGAATCAAAAAATTTTCAATAAACTACAGAGCATCCCTATATGCATAACATACAGAACACACATTAAAGATCTTATTTATTCAATTTAATTCAATTAATTTTAGGATATTTTTCATTGGTTAATATTTGCAATACGTAGCAAGGAGAAATATATTACAAGTACAGATTCCTTCGAAAAAAATTTTATATCCACAATTTTTTTTTCATTTAATTATTACGTGAATAGTTGGAAAGTTAAGTGATAAATCAAACACCATCTAAAAGAGATACGGAGAGATTTTTAGCGCTTCGCAACTTTTCAAGATTTCCGTTTTCGAATTCATCACTGGATTCCGCAGGAATCAATTCTCCAAACACCGATTTATTTTAATACATTTCCAAAGCAAAATTCAATTCAATTTTGAAACTTCCCGATTCGATATTTCTGGTAATAAATATTACGATTTCATTCTTTCATGATATAGTGCAACATTCCATTAAAGCTGTCAGTGACATAAAGATAAAAACGCAATCTTACAGTTTTCTGCAATCGTTATTTTTATGTTCGATAATCATACAACGACAACAAATAAAAAGAATATGGGGATTGTTAACTTTTTATGTATCACACAATGTGTATAATAGTTTTGAAAATTTGTTAGTACCAAATTGTACATCTACCTACATTGTAGGTAGATAGAATAAATTGTAATAGATTTGTTTGTACCAAATTGCACAGCTACCTACATTGTAGGTAGATAGAATAAATAAGAGCAGCACTTTTTATTTGCAATAAATCAAAACAGTAAATCAAAACTAACTTCTTTTTAAGCATCGGAACTTGCAAATTACATTTTATTTTCATCAACAAATTATTTTATGTTTCTGCTGTTTAATCGTTCGCTCGTTTCTTATGTAACGCACTTTATCTAAACGTACATGTGAAGCATTATGTAAAACCACTCGGCAACGAGAGAAATAATTACTTATTTCTTATTTAAAAAGCTAAAATTGCAATACAATGGAATTCCTGCTACTGCAGTTAAAATTGAGCCCCAACACTGAATATATAGTAAATAATAACTCTGGTAAAGCATTATGGAAGAAAGTTCATTTGGTGTTAAAAGAAAAGTGAATATTATGCGCTCTTTCTTTTACGCATGACAATAGTTAATAAGAAGATACACGATTGAGCCATCGGGATATTCATCAGGATATTTTAGGAATTTAGCATAAAATCAATTAAAACTAATACTAGAATAATTATTAATTTGTTCTCTGTCATGCATATCTTTCATAATGCAGATGTATTATTCCTAATTTCATCCTAAAAACCAAATTTTCTGGCCAACAAGAGGCCTTAATGAAAGTATTTAATTATTTTTTATAGAGACATTAGGTATTTTTTGAGAGCAGGAGAGATGAAAAATGAGCAATGCCCTTGTCTGTTCTCGAACCACGGACCTCTCTAATACGCGCTGAGCCTGCTGACCATTACACCACGAAGGCATGGTAAGGAGGCGGGAGAAATACCTTATATACTCCCCCTTTTAAAGGGCGACTAGGGATTAGGGGACCCAGTCGCCAAATCCTGATGGTGAAAAATCATCATCCACCATCTTGTTTAGTTCGGGCGCCACTGTAGAGACATTAGGATTTTTTTTTAAACTGAGAGGCATGAAACATGAGCAAATGCCCTCGCCTGGACTCGAACCACGGAACTCTCGAATACCCGCCGAGTGTGATGAACGTTACACCACTAAGGCATGCTAAGAAGGCGGGAAAAACACCTTATGGGTTTATAAATGTCAGAATTCCTGCTATTTGGCATAATATTTAGGTGAAATAGTAAGGTTTGAGATAATTTGCATCTACAATCTTAAACGTTTTTTAACAAAATTTTGATCGAACTTGAGAGTGAGTTGTAAATTTGAGACAAAAGGCTATTCCAGAATAATGCACGTGAAAATTCGGATAATAAGGCAACATTAAATATTAGTACAATAGCCTAAATTATCTTTTAGTACTTCGCTCAAATTAAAATTCCCATTTGCATCTAACGCATTTTAAAAGTATTTTTGTTGTAATTAACTGATTGCAAGTGAAAAACAATTATTGAAAACAATGAGACCACAGGGCAAATTAGAAGTCTTTGCGACGTTCAGTTTCTCACACTAAATAGATATATTGTGATTAAGATGATGCAATAAGCCCTTTGAATTCATACGACTACTTCCATCGCAATTGTCCTATCTGTTTCGGTATCTTATCAGTAAAAGGTTTACCTGCTCCTGAAAATCAAAGCCTAAAATAAAAGTTGGCTGGTTGCATTCATAACCGCCTTTATCTCCGAAAACCAATGTTTTAGTTTTCATACGCTAAACTTAAACTTAATCTTGTCTAGAGTTGATATAAGCTGTGTCACATGGCGGTATAGAATAATACTATGCAGAATGGAGACTTGTGATCACCACTCAGGCCTTTCTCTCGAAGCTTTGGATTTGTCAGATTGTGATGAGAGATGTCGACGTTTTCTAGCTGCGAGAGCTCCAAAACTGAAGTGGGCTGTAATGACATTAGAGAGATTATCTGAAGAATGCAAATCAATGACAGATCGTAATGATGTCGAGTTCGACTTACCTCGGTTGCGGCCTTTTTTGAAGAATTTATCAACGAATTTGCCGCTTGAAATCGATTGTGTAAGTTTATTAACGAAGGCAAAATATGCATTTTTCAGGAAAAGACTGCTAGCTATTCTGAAAGACAGTATGTTCAGAGATTATGCGTCTTTTCTGAAATGTCAGTTGGATATGTGCACCAGTGTCAAAGAAGTTGAAAACTGGCTGCGGAAATTCCTAAAAGTGTGTGAGATCATTCCAAGACCATTACAGATTTCTGGCGAAGATGTTCAGCAGTACGAATTTATGGCAGAATTGTTAGAGTTTTGCTATAATGTAGATATTCAGGACAGTCTTCTAGTTACATCCATGGTTAGAATAACTGTAGACTGGTACATCATGGATTCTACAGATACAAGGCATGTACGACAACCATTTTATAAAGAAGGCTTTTTAAGATATATCTTGGAACACAGCATAGATGCCAGATTTGACTTAATTTCATACTGTTCTAAGCATCCCAGAACTCTATGGGAGTATTCAAAAAACTTCTCGGTATTAAATGCAGTTGCCTTTGGAAATGTAGACCGAACGCTGATACTTTTGCAGCATGGATTGGAAATCTTCACTGCGAGGGACATCGAAAAAAGTGGACATGGTTTTCCAAATCTGTAAGTACGTTTAACACATGTTCTAACATTTAGTTGTAGAACCTGATTATTTTTTAAAAAGATAAAATTCAGCCACATTCATGATAGATTTCGTTTTCTCTCAGATATTTCTCAAAGCCTTTCAGAAATAATTTATTTGCTCCTACATCCATGATATTATTTCATTATTCTCCTTTTATTATCTTTGAAACAAAGCTATCAGAAACTCACTTTCTAACTTTAATCTCAGCTTGCAGTATTATAACATTTTCATATATTACCAGCACAGTACTTGCCACTTAATGTGATCATGTTTATTCACTGTTATTTTGATAATATTAACCGAATGATAACATTAAACAATGAGGAAAAACAACAATGGAACTTAACTAATTTAATGTAAATAAAACCAGAAATATATAACTAAGTACTTTCACAAAATTTGTACTTAAAAATGCAAAAATTTGTTTATCAACTGTTCATAGCGTCATTAAACACAATAGCTTATCTAAGGACTGTTCATAATATTTCTGAAAATGATTTGACTCTGATCTTAATACCCGGAGGGCATTTCTCACTCACTGGAGCATGAAAATGTAAAATTTAAAAATAGGCCAAAAACCAATAGTTGGGTGTAAATGTTTTCAGGGAAAATTTTGTTTTAAAGGATCAATGAAAAACTTCTCCAGAGATTGCCTTGCTTCTGAAGAACAAGGACCTGTGCTTTTTTTTTTTTTTTTTTTTTTTTTTAGTCCAAAGGTTGGTCTTTGTCTCTGAAGGACTATTGTTTTCGTTTTACAATTTTGCATTGGTTCACTATAAATGTCCATTTCACTTTTCAAACTGTTGCCACCAAATGTTAGAGTCCTGCATTATATTTGAAGAAATTAAGTAATGAAAAGGCAAGGTGGCGCAGTGGCTAGTGCATCGCGCAGCAGCACTACAGGTCCGGGGTTCGAACCCCCAGGCTGGGCAAGGTCAACTCAGCCTTTCATCCCTTGATTTCCATACCTTGGGTCGATAAAATGAGTACCAAGTTCGCTTGAGGACTAAACACTGGGCGTCCTGCGACAAGCTGACTACTTGTTCAGGGCATATGCTTAAGTACCCGGGGCCCACAGTCAAGAAAGAAGATTTCGGGGCACTGCAGGCCTTGGCCCATTAGGGCTGTTTGCGTCACTGAGTTTAGTTTTAAATAATGAAAAATCTGCATACATATTTCTCGCATTGTGATAAAACAACGGTACATAGAGCCATCTAATTTTGATTGAAGTAATCTTACTGCGAATATGGGCATGTGGAAACCCAAATTTGAAATTCGCAATTTGTTTTATTATCGATTTCATATTTTGTAAAACTTTAACGAATTTTTAATTAACAAACTCAAGGATTGCAAAAAGAGCAACGACAACGTTGTACAGAAAAAACACTTTTATTTCCAGCACGCGAGACTTTGTATTGGAAATTCTAAAGATATGCTCAATTTAAAACTATTTTGAGACATTGCTCTTGAACTGAATTTTATGGTTTAAGTGCGAAGAACATGATATTTAATAAATAAATGTAACAGACAAAATGTTCAAAAAACGCCTTTTTGAACGTAATTTAAAATCTGGAAACTTTCAGTTCCCCCCCCCCTCCTTACTTTTAAGTGGTTCACTAAAATCGAAAACAAATTGTATGGCGACATTTTTCTGATACTTAGCAATTTGTATAATCTATTCTAAAGTTATTTGGCGATTTAATCCTTTATTTGGTGACCTTACTTCAGTATTAATTTCAGTAAAAATTATTCGATAATACTTTGATAACATTAATCGAACTGCTGTTGTTAATGAGTGATGTATTTTCTGTGTTTTCGTGCACAAACTTACGGGACTTCGTAATTCGATAACAATATCCAAATGGTAACTTTAACGTCTACTGTGCTGGCCAAGAGCTTAAATACAAAAGTATTAACTGCTAATAAGCAGCGATCAATAAACTTAAATTTATGAGATGGATTTCTTAAAAAACTTATATGACATAACAGATAATGGTAGTTTTGCTTGGCATTACTTCTGTGCACCCTAGTCTGTCATAAATATGCTAGATATAGAGCCTAAATAAATTGCTTTTATTATTTATTTATTATAAATAATTTTAGTAGATACATTTTTAACATTTTTTGCGACTCATTAAAAAATTTCAAAGACGGAAAATGTACCACAAGAAAATGATGGAGCAGCAAAAATTTCTCAAAATCGCATAACATAACTTTTAGTCGGACAGATTTGTCAAAAGTAGCAAATTTATGAAAAATTGCCTGACCATTGCCTGGTTCACCACGTTTTAATTCGAGTGCCCCTAAAGAGGTCATTAGCCATTTTATTTCAAAGCAAGAGACATGAAAAATATGCAATATTCTTTCTGGGATTCGAATTTCGGACCTCCCGATTGCCAGCAGGACGTGCTTTCAATTACATCGCGAAGCCGCGCGATAAGTTGAAAGAAAATAGCTTACGTAGTTACAGTTCCCATTTGTAATAATAATATTATTTGAAAAAAAAATTATCTTCATTCAGTAAGGTTGAATTTTAAAACTGAGGAGACTTCATAAATTTTCAATTTTGATTCATTTAATTAAGGTAAGCATATGAAAGCTATCTATCAAGCTACATCTCAGTTTCTCAGAATTTTTCTGTTTTTTCCTTCTGTTATAAGAAAAGGTATAAAAATGATTATAGCGTTAATTCGAACCTTTAATTTCGTATGTTACAATTCTGTGATGTAAATAGGATTCACAAATATCTTACATTTCTGTTTTATTTATATGAAAATTTTACTAAACCGTAGTTAAATTGACATTCAAATTCAAAATTAGAACTAAAGTTAATTTACAACATTCTCAAAATGTTCCATTTTCAGTTAACTTAAATATTCCTAATCGAAAAGTAAAACATTTGAATTATTAATTTTAATTGTAAAAACTTAAATATCATGAGAAACGAGTGGAATCTAGAGAGTATAAAATGGCTCGAATTCTTCGATTTACAGTTACCATTAAAAACATCGCGAAGAAAATAACATAAAGCCAAAACATTGGCGTACGAAACATCGGGATAGGGGAGAAAAAAGCAAGGAGAAAACTTGAGAGTCTAAAACGTCAGGACAGATTTCGTACTTTGAAAATATCGTCGTATAAACAAAAATAAAGCAACTGAAAAACATCGCAGAAATATGCATCTTATGCTCCTAACATGTCGAGAATTGTGTTTGTTTTCTGCCAGCAGTATTATTTTAAGTACAGTGATTTTTAGATGACGATTTGTGGTTTCAGATGTTTTTGGTGTTCTCCGGAGGTGCTGGTCTCAGACAGACGAGATTAAATAAAGATGTTAATTTATGTTCTCAGAAAATGGGAGTATTTTCAAAGAAGAGGAGAGATTGTTGCTACGAAGAGGATTCACTTCATTTTTCAATGCTAGACAAAATAAATATACAGCAGGTTTTTTTTCTGTATGAGTTTTAGGTGTTGTTTAATGTGTATTTTCGATTTACTCATCACTAACTTCTGAAATACTTTATTTATTTGTATTGTACATCAGAAGTTCATGATTTTCATATTTTTAAGCAATTCTATGACAAATTATTGAATATCTGTAGTTATCATTCAAAACCTATTCCTGATTTCGTATTGACTTTTTATTAACTGATTTAAACACATCTTCAAAATTATCAACTTTTTATTTGGTTTGCAATTATTTAATAAACATAATCATCACTATTGATTTTAGATCAAAAGCGCAGCAAACGTAAATAATAATATACTGTGAAGACCATATTCGATTATAAATGATTTTGGTCTTCTATAGAGATGTTTATTTTACAATAAGTGATACTACTGTTTTATATAATATAATAGGTGATGCTACTGTTTTTTATATGTAACTAGCGGGCTGAAGCCCGCTACATGAGGGAAGGCATGCGTTCGTGGAGCACTCGCTTTATTCACGTTAGATCACTTGATTCACGTATGCATTCACAAGATATACGCTAGTTCGCATGATTGCTAGAGGGTAAGCCCGCCAGTTGAGCGGGCTGCGCCCGCTTTATACACATGCGGAAAATCGGGCAAGCCCGCTTTCGTTGGCCTTTATTCGAAAGTTGGACTGAATTACCAGTGAAGCCCGCTTTCGTTCGACGGGATTCGAAATTTGGAGCGAACTACCAGTTTTTAGCGATTTTTCCCGGGCTGTGCCCGCTGTATTCACATATGCATCCACAATTTCTGGACAGTACGCCGGGATTCGAAATTGGACCGAACTTCCAGTATTCAGCGATTTTACCTGTGCTGCGCCCGCTTTATTGACGGATGCATCCACAAAATACTGCCAACACGTTACACATGCGGAAAATCACGAAATCATCCATGCAGCCAGCCCGGTTGTCGGGATTCGAATGTTGGACCGAACTACCAGGTTTCAGCGGTTTTGTGAGGGCTGCGCCCACTTTATTCACGTATGCATGCAGAAGATGGTTCATAAACGATATATATGCGTAAAATCAAGAAAACACCCATGCAGTCAGCCCGTTCGCCGGGATCGAAAGTTGAACCGAACTACCAGTGTTCTGTGGTTTTGCCAGGGCTGCGTCCGCTTTATTAAAATATGCATCCAGAATATACTCATACACGGTACACATGCGGAAAATCACGAAAACACCCAGAGCCAGCCCGTTGGCCTTTATTCGAAAGTTGGACCGAACTACCAGTGTGCAGCGATTTTAGCCCGGGCTGCGCCCGCTTTATTCGCGTAATGCATTCAGAAGATACTGCATACTCGATACACATGTGGAAAATCACGAAAACACCAATGCAGCCAGCCCATTCGCCGAGATTCGAAAGTTGGACCGAACTACCAGTGTTCGGCGACTTTACCGCTCAGTCGATAATGGGCCGTTGTACCAAATATAATCTCGAACATTTTCGGGTTTTTATTCCAACAATAGATTCGTTATTAAATTACTTTCTTTAAACTACAACAGAATCCGCACAAATTTACAACAAAATTGTTTCACAAGAATATAAGTAAATTAAATTTAAATAATTCTCTTTCGCTATTGCTGCAAGGAATGACATTTGAGTTTAAGAAACATTCTCTATTCGTATAAAGCTAATATTCAATTAAATTTTAATTGCAAAAAGAAATAAAAATAATTATTATTGCTGCCAACTAATTTACAATATCATTTAAATTCAAAAAGGATATGTAAATTAAATAGACGTATCTAAAACCATGAAAAAATATATTATTCGAAAAAATTAATTTATTATTCCCAAAAATAATAACATATTAAAAAAAACAGCGCTTTCAGGTTTATTTAATTAATATCTCAGCTAATTAAAGTTGTACAACTTCAAGAACGTCATCATTTAAATTTACAGTAATATAACAACTTTTACACAATATCGATAAAAGAAATAACGTGGCAATAACATATCGTGGCAATTATCCTAACCTGAAATTTTAAAAAAAATTGCAAAAACCAGCTGTTTATTTAAAATACCTACATTAACGAAATATTTTCAAAATACAGTGAGGTAACATGCAATCGCGTGCTTTATTTAACTTATAATATATTATATAGATATTATTATATATATATTATTATTATTATATAGATATATATATAATATTATTATTATTATATAGAATATATATATAAATTATTATTATTATATAGAATATAACCTTGATTTTTATCTGTGGCGATTCAAGAAACTGTTGCAATCGGAAAAATGAGCACGAAAATTAGCGTCTTCAGTTTTTAATTAATATCTCAGCTGATTAAAGATCTATTTCCACAGAAGACCAAAATTATCTAGAACCATTAATGGTCAACTTAGTGCTCAAAATAAAAACTACAGTATCAAAAAATATATTTTATAGAGCTCTGAACATCTTAGAAGCATAAAATATAGATTTATACGATCGTTTTTCATTCAGCGTTTTGCAGCTGCTTTATTTTCACCATGATGTTTTGTGCGATGATGTTTTCCAGTTGCTAAACTTTATCATCACATTCTTTTCTTTTCTCTCCTTGGCTTTTTTTTCCTCTGCATATTTTGTACGATGATGTTTTCTCCATGTGTTACTTTCTCCGAAGTGTTTTTGGAGGATACCGGGACTGATAACAGAAAAGTGCAATAATCATTGAACCACTAACAAATCTTGTCTCCTCCGTAATCCCATTTATCTCTTTTAGAAAATTCTGTAAAAAGCATCTCTCAATAAAGGCAAACATTCCTTTTTTAAAAATAATTAATTAATCTAGTGAAAAACAGTTACTTTTCATTTCATCATATTCGCAGATTTAGGCATATTTAAAAGTGAATATTAATCATCTAATAAGAAGTATTAAATCTAAGATTTAAAGTAAAAGATTTTAAAAGTATATTTAGAAACTTTTAATGTATATAAATGAAAACCAAAGTCCTTTTTCTCTTTCAGACCACAAATCATCCCTGAGCGACATCTCCTGGTTTTACAAATGATGTGCAGTATGAACTGCGTAAATCTTTTCTTTCTGAATATTAGTCAGTCAGCTAACATCCAACTGTGTTCTGTGACGCAAGCTCAGAGGAGATGCTTCGAACTTTTGTGGAGAGCTATACCAGACCCGTACGTAAAATTCAAAGAAATAGCAGCCTCCATTTTTGAAGAATATTACTTTTTGATTCAACACTCCGTTATGAACAGTGTGCGCTACGAGAAGAATCGCAAGTATTTGTGCATGTACGAACTTTGTTTCAAAGACATGGCCACCGGGACTAAAGAACCGAGGACTTTGAAACATCTGTGCAGGTGCAGAGTCAGAAAAAGCCTGAAACAAGCATGGAATCTTCCATCAGGATTGTCCCAGCTGGGATTACCAAAGGTTCTCCAAGATTATCTCAATCTTGAATATGACTAAACAAATAACTATCTTTGGTCTTTTTGGTGTACATATCTTTCACCTACCTGGAATGTTTTTGTATCAAAGACGTATAAGATCTCAGTATTTATTTAAAGCACTTTTAAGACCGATATTTGTAAAATAAAAGTCTTCAAACTTGATATTTATAAAATAAAAGTCTTCAAACTTAAGTGCATTATTAATTGGGAAGAATTATATAGCAAACAGAAAACTGTTTGATAAATTCAGAAGTTATTAACAGAATGCTAAACTTATTTTAATTATTAAAAATTTATTATAATTAATTAAGTAACTATATCAGAGGTAATAGATTATATTTAATATTTTATGATTCTAACAAATATTATCAAGCTTATAAAACAATATTTTTTACAATAATATTTATCATAATGCGCTTTATATGCGTTATATGTATTCTATACATCTTTTTTTCAAATTTCTAATACGTGTAATTTTATAATGCCATATATTTTTACTTTCTTATGTTTGTAAATATGTCTTAGAATGTTTTAATCACGATCAAATAACTGAAGAAAAGCTTCCTTCAGTTACAGACGGTATGCTTACCAATATATGTTTCTAATCAGAGCTGGGACAAGGGTGAAGCGAGTAAGACAGGTAGAAAATTAGAAGGAGCAACAAACTGGCTATGATAAATTAGAAACTCATTTTTAAAAGAAAAAAATAACTAAGGTTGTTAACTTTCAACTTTTAAATACATTAGAAAGACTCATTTTTGAAACTTATTTAAAGTAACAAAGCTTTATAAGCATTATCTATGATAATTTAAAAAAGCCTTATAGTATTGATTCTTCTTCTCTTCTCTGTGCTATAATGGCTGCCTATCTGATTTCCAGTAGTCATATTTTTCGTCAAGATGAAGTCAAGATGGCATCTCTCAGTTCATATTTTGACACAGCTACAATATAATAAGTAAATTAATATTTTAATTAAATATCAATTAATTAAATATCAGTTATTTTATTTTCTTATAATGAGGTTTCTTTAATATGTGTTTTTATCATATTGTTTCCATTAATTCTTCCCAAACATGCCGCTTCGCATTACTGTACATACGGTATTCTAATATTGTAATTTATTAGCACAGCACATTCAGTCTGTAACGGATCATCCAGTGTCTGCGCGTACCGTTCGACGCCGTTTACAGCAGAGTGGTCTGTCCGCAAGACGTCGATTGTTTCGTCTACCCTTGACGCAGAACCATAGACGTCTTTGCCGCCAATGGTGCGGTGAAAGAACGATGTGGACGGCAGAATGGAATGAAATTGTCTTTACTGACGAGTCACGCTTCTGTCTGCAACATCACGATGGTCGAATTCGAGTCTGGAGACACTATGGAAAGAGAATGCTGAACAGCTGCGTTATGCACCTCCACACTGGTTCTGCACCGGGTATTGTGGTATGGGGCGGTATTGGATATCACTCTCGCACTCCTCTAATACGCATTGCCGATACTTTAAACAGCCAGCGCTACGTGTCCCTGGTGTTGGAAACAGTTGTCCATCCTTACCATCCGGGCTTGTCCACAGTCATAGTTCAACAGGATAATGCGCGACAACACGTGGCACGCATTGTCCAAGGGTTCTTCGTCAATCGCCAGATTGAATTGCTTCCCTGGCAGGCTCGCTCTCCGGATCTTTCGTCGATAGAAAACATGCGGTCCATGGTTGCTGAACGATTGACCCAGATTACATCCCAAGCTGCCACATCAGATCAACTTTGGCAACGCGTGAAAGCGAATTGGTCTGCTGTATCCCAAGAACACATCCAAAGTCTCTTTGAATCAATGCCGAGGCGTGGGGCAGCGGTGATCTCCAATAATGGCGGCTATTCTGGCTACTGATTCAGGTACGAACCACACTTCACAGAAGTCTATAAATTTAATCATTTGATACTTGTTCAACATGTTATCTACTAAATAAATTTTGTTGTGATATCTCTTGTCTTTCTTGGTGTTACAATTTGGGTGGCCAGCAGTGTACTTAAAGATGGCTTAAGGTATTTATTGAGGTGTATTATAAACGGCGCTTAGCAATATGCTAAAGCCGGTATACAGCTTAGGTACAGCTGGCGATTGTAAGTAATAGTACGACACGGCTGTCAGAAGCTGTAATCTAAACCAGGGGTCTGCAAACCTTTTTAGAAAGGACCAGGTCGTAAAAATTTTAGACTCGGCGGGCCAAGTAGCAAACATAATGATATTGTTACGAATTTGGTATTTAAAGAGCTAATGTTAGTTCAATTATAAATTAAATGGTTTTATTTCTCGCGCAGTGCAGCGCGTGACGAATATTAAAAGAAAGCTAAGCCGGAAAATTGAAAATACAAGAGCGCGTGCATTAAATAAATAAATATCTCTTTTGATTTCGAGAAAGTACTGGAAAATTCTAGCGCGTGATTTTAAAATCTTATAAAAGGAGGAAAACATCTCAGTTCGTAGTAGTTGCTTAGTTTGTTGTTGTTTAGAAAACTGCCGTTGTTGATTATAGCGAATTCGCGGATTAGCGTTCTTTAGCTGTTTTGAATACGTTCATTGTACATTTGAGTAGTTAAAAGATAACTGTGACATATTGTAATACTGCATGATAAATTTGAGAAAATTTAAGCATTTTGTTGTGATAATAATAAATTTTTGTTCATTTTTCATCGGACTTGTGCATTCATTTCATAACGAACCCGTACGCACGCAACAATTTTTGGTGTCAGGAGTGGGGTTTGAATGCCAGTCACAAGAGCGATGGAAGAGCAGTTAAGACAGCTGATATCAGCCTTTGCTGCATTTAAGGAAGAAATGAAATTGGGCCAGGAATCCGTTAAGGAAGAAATGAAATTGGGCCAGGAATCCGTTAAGGAAGAGATGAAATCTCTTAAAGATGAGATGAAAGCAGGTCAGGAAAAAATTAAAAGAGAAATTACCTGCGTAATAGAAAATTAATTTCAGGCTATGGAAGGCAGAATAGACGCGGTTGAAATTAAAGTTGGACAAATAGAAGAAAGAGTTTCTTCGGTAAAAGAACAAGTAGAAGAAAGAATTTCTTCTATAAAAGAACATATAGAACAGAGAGTTTCTGCCGTCGAACAACAAATTGATGACAGGATTTCTGCTGCCGTCGCCAAAGAAGTGGACAGTCTAAAGAAGTACATAGCGACGGCAGGAAACAATTCTGAAGGTTTCAAATTTTTATCGATCCCTGCTCGTTCCGTTCTGAAACTATCTACATATGATGGGAAGACCTCCTGGCAGGTGTATAGGACACAATTTTCTATCGTTGAGGATGCGAATGGATGGGATTCCAAAGCTAAGGCTTGTCATCTCGCCGCTTTTCTGAGAGCAGACGCAGCGGATATCCTGCATACGCTTCCCGAAAATCAAAGGCTAGATTTTGAAGCTCTATCCGGCGCTTTGGAGCTGCGCTTCGGCGAGAAATGTTTAAAAGACTTTAGCAGGCTCCAATTAACATCTCGTCATCAGAAGCTCACCGAAACACTTCAGGAGCTCGCCGCGGATGTTGAAAGGCTGTCACATCACGCCTTTTCGAAGTGTCCGACAGAAACAAGAGAAATCCTGTCGCTGCAATATTCATCGACGGCATCCGGGATCCTGAAATACAGAAGCTCTTCGAATGGCAGATGTAAAGGACATAAAAAGCGCTTTGTTGGTACACCATGAATTCGAGGCAGGCCCAGCAAGCAGCAACTAGTAGAGATCGCTACCCAGTTAGAGCTGTGCGAGTCCATGAGCCAGTGGATCAACTGATGGCTCGTTTAGATGATTTAGCCAGACAAGTCGACGCTTTGCTACGGAGTAGGAGCGAGAAGAAAGTAGCTCTAAGGTGTTGGAGATGTGGTAGTGAAGGTCACCTAAGACGAAATTGCAGAACACCCCAGGGTACGGAATATAAAGCAGATGATTTTACCAGACAAGTCAGTGGCTTGAGACGGAACAGAAGTGAAAAGAAACTAATTCTAAAGTGCTGGAACTGCGGAGTTGAAGGCCACATGCGAAGAAACTGCAGAACACCCCAGAGTACGAAAATTAAGACCAGTTCCCAGCAACGATGCAGGAAACAAATTAGTGACCATATCAAGGAACTGAGGTTGCCGCAGAATGAAAAACCTTGTTTAAAGCGCTTAAAATTTATACAATGAGTGGCAACAGTAACGAACTGTCCATTAATGGGAATATCGATGGAGTTCCTTGCAATATGATCATTGACACAGGAGCTAATGTTACCATCATTAGGAAAGATTTAGCTGAACAGTTTAAAGATAAACTTATTTGGACGCCATCCTGTGTTACCCTTCAGACTGCGTCTGGTGATAAGATCGACATAACTGGGAAGTTAAAAGTAAACATCAACGTTTGGAAGTGCCGCGACCATCACACGGCATATGTGGCGGATATTACAGATCCATGCATACTCGGATTGGACTTTTAAGGAAATACAATTTTTCCTTAGACTTGAAAAACAACAAACTGCTTTCAGCATCTGATGGCATGACTATCCATCCTCAAAAGGGATCCTCGCCTGGAAATGTCGACGCCTTGTCCGAAAGATCCAGCTCGAGAAGCTGCCGAAATCATACCAGGGTCGAAAAGAAACGCAAGACTACCAGCTATTCTCCAGCCCAGATGCTCTTCGGTCGAGACCTTCGTCTGCCTTGTGACCGCCTGTCTGATCGCCATAGGGATGCGCCTTCATCGCCTGAGGAACACATCCAAGATGTCCAGGCCCATTTTGAAGTGATGCACCGTTCCGCACGAAAGCGAGTGAATTTGGCGACGGAGAAAGTGAACTCTAGATACAACACGAGAGCTACTGGACATAGATCCAACAAAGGAGACAAGGTGTGGTTGTGGAACCCGATTCAACGAAAAGGACTCAGGCCTAAATTAGAGTCACCTTGGGATGGTCACCACACAGTCCTAAACAGGCTGAATGATATCGTGGTTCGGATCCGTAAGTCGTTCATTACGGCAGGTTAGCTCATTACTATGGCCATAGTACGTAATGTAAATAATTGTAAATAGTATAAGACCATGGTCCTTTTTGTTTCTAAATGTGTATTTAGTATTTGATTCGTATTTTGCGTTTCATTTTTATTTTGTATTTGATAGCATTTGATTTTTTTTATTTATTGC